CCTCAAGGCTCCATCTTGGGGCCTCTTCTCTTTAACGTCTACATGCTACCACTGGCTCAGATAATAGAAAAATAACAAAATAAGTTACCATAGCTATGCGGATGACACAGAAATGTACATAACCATTTCACCAGGAGACTATTCTCCAGTTAAAACACTGAGTAAGTGCATTGAACAAATCAATGACTGGATATGTCAGAATTTTCTCCAATTAAACAAAGATACAACTGAGGTAATGGTTTTTGGAGCCAAGGCGGAACGTATAAAAGTTAGCGCTGAGCTTCAGTCTGCAATGTTCAAAACAACAGATAAAGCCAGAAATCTAGGTGTAGTCATGGACTCTGACCCCGAGTTTCAACAGTCACATTAAAAAATTACTAAATCAGCTTACTATCACCTAAAGAACATATCTAGGATTAAAAGACTAATGTCACAGCAGGATTTGGAAAAACTTGTCCATGCTTTTATCTTCAGTAGACTGGACTACTGTAATGGCGTCTTTGCAGGTCTCACTAAAACATCTATTATAAAGCTGCAGCTGATTCAGAACGCTGCTGCTCGAGTCCTCACTAACACTAAGGAAGTGGATCACATCACTCCTGTTCTGAAGTCTTTACACTGGCTTCCTGTGTGTCAAAGAATAGATTTCAAAATACTGCTGCTGGTTTATAAAGCTTTGAATGGTTTAGGACCAAAATGCATTTCTGACCTCCTGCTAAATTATGAACCATCCAGATCTCTCAGGTCTTCAGGGACTGGTCAGCTTTCTGTCCCCAGAGTCAGAACTAAACATGGTAAAGCAGCGTTCAGTTATTATGCTCCAAATATCTGAAACTCCCAGAAACCTGCAGGTCCGCTGCAACTCTGACTACTTTTAAATCCAGGCTGAAGACTTATCTTTTTGTCGCTGCTTTTAATTTAAACTGAGCCGTTGTGTTCATCAGTAAAGTGGAACTTCTGTGTGACCTATTCATATCTTAAACTGCACTGTAACTTTTTATTCATGTACTTTTTATTCATGTATTTTTTCTTTTATTATCTTTTATCTTTTTTTTAAAGCACCTTGAATTGCCTTGTGTTGAAAGGTGCTATATAACTAAACTTGCCTTGCCTTACCTGAAGTGTTACAACTAGATTGTTTTGGTTTGTTTCTGTGTGTAAGAGATCAATTCAAATGAAATCAAATCAAAGTTTATTTATATCACAAAACATGTTTGTCTCAGTGGGCTTTACAGATTAACAAACATGAATGACATGTCTGCACTGCAGTCATCTAATATAATGACATCATGATATTGCGACCGAGCAAAATGTAAATATAGCGTCCTCCTCGCCTAAACTCACGAAAAGGTCTATGGATTATCCTGAGTAACTGGGTCATTATTTATCGAAGAACATTGCTGTTGAGTTTTTCAATTGTACGTTTTCGTCACTTTGAGCTCCAAAAGTCAAGAGCCATAACTCCCACCAAAACATTTGCACTACAAGTAGGACGTAAAATATGTTTTTTATGAATTTGTACATTTATTCAAGTACTGTACTTGAAATGTATCAAAACCAAACAAAATATAGTATGTTTTTCTGAAATGTGCCATTTTGCCAAACGAGTAGTACTTTGTGTTTTAAGAAAGTTTGAATGCTGATAGGTTAGTACTTTTACATAAGTGCAGATTGCCATTGTCTAATATTAGCAGAGCTTTTTGCAAGTGATTTATAAATGTTGCTTGAGACAATGAAGGTCTGAGGATTTGATAAGGACATTTTCCTGTTTATTCCTTTTTTGACTATTTTGTATTGTTTAAAATGTGCACACAGTTCACGAGATCTGGCCTATTTAGGAAGTTATGGTATCATGTAAGCCGATTGCAGTCTGTTGCAGGGCCAATGAAACAATGATAACAACTTTATTCACTCAACATGATTTCCTCCCCAATGATGTTCTAAATCA